TGAATGCCCGGAGCCAACCGTAGGCCACTTCGTGCTCTTCGACTTCCCAGAACTCCATTCCCGGGCCACATTTTGGATGCCCGGAGCCAACTGTAGGCCACTTCGTGCTCTTCGACTTCCCAGAACTCCATTCCCGGGCCACATTTTGGATGCCTGGAGCCAACTGTAGGCCACTTCGTGCTCTTGGACTTCCCAGAACACCATTCCCGGGCCACATTTTGAATGCCCGGGGCCAACTGTAGGCCACTTCTTGGTCTTCGAGTTCCCAGAACTTTATTCCCGGGCCACATTGTGAATGTCTGGGTCCAACTGTAGGCCACTTCGTGGTCTTCGAGTTCCTACCCTGGGGTTGCTCGGATCGCGTTTTTCGATCCAAGCACGTTGGATCAAAAAACATGGTCTGGATCAAAATCCAGTGTGCGCAGTGGCTTGGATCAAAAAACATGGTTTGGATTAAAAAACATGGTTTGGATCAAAAAACAATGTTTTGTGAATCACATAATGCATGCTTTACGTATGCATGCATATAGTTATATATATGTGTATATATAGTATACACATATATGTGTATATGTATATGGATATGTGTAAATGTATGTGTGTATGCGTATATGTACATGTGTGTATGTACATATGTACGTATATACGTATATACAAACAAATATAAATACGCACACATATATATATACCCATAGGTGTGTGCAGTCATATCTCAAGCGCACCATGTAGCTATGCACATATATATATATATAAGTGCTGAATATATATATATATATGCTGAATATATATATATATATATATATATATATAGGAGCTCGCGGGTCCCTCTTGGTGGCGGCGGGGCGGGCAAAGCCCTGCAGGGGCGGCGGGGCGGGCAAAACCCTAGCCAAGTCGGTTGCCCGTGGCCCGCGGCCCCCTCGTAGCGGCGGCGGGGCGGCGGGGCAGGCAAAGCCCTGCAGGGGCGGCGGGGTGGGCAAAGCCCTAGCCAAATCGGTTCCCCGTGGCCCGCGGCTCGTTTGTGGCGTTGGCGGGGCGGCGGGGTGGGCGAAGCCCTGCGGGGGCGGCGGGGCGGGCAAAGCCCTAGCCAAGTCGGTCGCTCGTGGCCCGCGGCTCGTTCGTTGCAGCGGCGGGGCGGCGGGGCGGGCAAAGCACTAGCAAAGTCGGTCGCTCGTGGCCCGCGGCTCGTTCGTAGCAGTGGCGGGGCGGCGGGGTGGGCGAAGCCCTGGCGATTGCCCGCGCTTCCTGGCCCCTCGTGGGGGTCGGCGGTTTGGCGAAGCCAATTTACTATATCCTTCCGCTTTGGGGGGGCGAAGCCCTAGCGAAGTCGGTCGCTTGTGGCCCGTGGCTCTTTCGTTGCAGTGACGGGCGGCCGGGTGAAGCCCTAGCGATGGCCCGCAGCTCGTGGCCCCTCGTGGGGGTCGGCGGGCCTGGCGAAGCCGACTGAATATAATCTTAAGTTTTTCTGTGTTCATTCCCTCCTCGAGCCCCCCGTTTTGAAGACAAGATTCCTGGGGCTGGGAACTGCGGAATTGTCATGGGTGCCTGGGAGGTCCAGCGGAGCGCGGTCTTCGAGGCACCACATTCTGATTCGCAACAGTCGCCATTTTCATGCGGCATCGGAGGCATGTGTGATCACGCCCCCTCCCAGAGAAGTCATCCCAGAAGATTTGTCTCGACCTCCCGTGGAGGACAAGAATTGCCACTGGCCTGCAGACTGGGAGGAGGAGGGGGTCATCGGGTCAACGGCAGGTCAGCGCACGTGCGTTGACCCCCAACGTCTGCACGTTGACCACTATTTGATTGGAGGCCTGATAGTTGGAGAGGAGGAAGAAGAAGAGGAGGAGGAGGAGGAGGAGGAGGAGGAGGAGGAGGAGGTCATCGGGTCAACGGCAGGTCAACGCACGTGCATTGACCCTCATCGCCGGGCACACGGACGATGGTGAATATTTCAGACGCTGACGAGGGAAGAGGAGGATACAGGAGGGGGAGGAGGGAAGTCTGAGGGAGAATGAAAAAGTGAAACCTCAGACGTCGGCGTCGCTGTCCTCGACGTCGATGGCCGCCTCCATGAAGGGGGCGCTGTCATCGACGTCGATGGCCGCACCCCACTCCGATGGCTGCACCGCGATGCCCTCGCCGAGGACCCCGCGCCTCCACCGACGTCGCGCGCTCCTCGTCGCCGCTGTCGTCCGCGCCGCGTGCTCCTCGTCGCCCCTGTCGTCCGTGAGCAAGGCCTCGTCGTTGGCCGCTGCATCGGCGTGGTCTGCGGCGTCGCGCTCTGCAGAGCGCGACGCAAGGCCGCCTGCTGTGCTGTTGCCCTCGTCACTCTTGGCCGCCTGCTCTGCGTCGCCCTCGACAGTGGCCGCTGCATCGGCCTGCTCTGCGTCGTGCTCGATCGCGTCGTCCGCCTGCTCTGCGTCGCCCTCGACATACATGGCCGCCTGCTCTGCGTCGCGCTCGATCGCGTCGTCCGCCTGGTCGCCCTCGACATGCATGGCTGCCTGCTCTGCGTCGTGCTCGATCGCGTCGTCCGCCTGCACTGCGTCGCGCTCGATCGCGTCGTCCGCCACCATGGCGGCGATCGGGCGTCGGAGTGCATCGCCCTCGATGTCGGCCGCCTGCTCGTCACGATCACGAGCAGGGCTGGGCGATCGAGTCGAGGGTTCTCGAGAAGATCGGCCGCGTGCTGCTTGCCTCTGGCGGTAGCGGTACTGCCGGACGGGGGCGGCCAACCATTCTACTCCGTCGCCGTCGTCGGTGATCCACGCATATGTCCAGCACTGCAATAAGGGATTGAACACTGGATCGCATCGCTCCTCCCTCAGGTCGTAAAAGAGCGGATACATGTGCACGCGCCTGAGCCAAAGCTTAAGTTGTCCGAGCCGAAATGCCTACGGATGGCCACCGGGTAAGGACGCAAGCCCTTGGATGTCCAAGATGACGTTTTATCAAAATGTTAAGATTTTATCTTTGGTAGACCAAAGGATCCTGCCAGAGTGCCAGAGGCAAGGGTGCTGTATTGTTTTCTGTGTTCGGGGCAAGGGTACAAGAGTGCCCAGGGGATCTGCCTAGTGCCTCGATCGTGCCGCGGTTGGATCTCAAGTATCCCAAGCCACAAAAATCAATACATATGGCAAAACATCAAAGCATATTCAGAGAAAACAATACACCTCGCTCAATATCAACGCGTTTGAAAAATACCAGAACCATCACTCAATGTCACTCAATATCATTACGTTTGAGGCGACTTGATAAAATCAAGACTTTGGATGTCTGGGTCCATGCCCCTCCGCTCTTCGTGGGCTGCGAAACCTGCGGCACTGCAGTTCCGAGGGGGGGGGGGGGGCAGGCTCTCCTTTCCATGTTTTGTGAGAACCCCGTGCGCTACAAGGTCTGACCCATTGACACCCGCAGTGACCTCCGTCCAAACCTCCTGATCACACGGGCGCTACGAGGTCATCGCACCTGCGTTGACCACCCATTGACCCATTGACCCCCTCAGCGACTTCTGTCCAAACCTTCCAAGCACCTGGGGGCTACGAGGTCATCGCACGTGCGTTGACCACCCATTGACCCATTGACCCCCTCGTCCGTTCCCGCCCTTATTCGTACTTCCGTCGTCTTGTCCTCCCGTCCGCCCGTCTCCTCCTTCCTCTTCTGACTCCCCCGCCATCTCCTTGTCCTCAATCATCGTGCTCGCCCCCTTCCTCGCCACCCTCTCCATCCTATTTGTGTTCGCATGCATCCCGAAAACGTCGCAACGGTTTTGGTCGTGGATTGCCCGCGATCCCAAGAGCGGCGGCCAGGGAATTTAAACCCCGCGAGTGTAGCGTCAACAATGGCGCGCGCAAACATAGTAGGCTACACTTGCGCAGCACGCGTCTGCTTCACTCTCCCAGAAATATGGCCACGCTTGCATGTCCTAGTAAGTGGGATGTAAGAACACCCATTTCTCTTGATCTTCTTAATCAGAAATTGCTGGCAGGTATGCAGAGGCATCGATGCGAACACTTCCACTGGTTTGCAGCTCTTGCCGCCGAATTGGCCGAGAGATGTGAGGAAACGATGGGCTTTCGCCGTGATGAAGGCGTCTGCCAACCATGGCGTCTTGAACAGCAAGCTATTCATTGGTTGCTCCACTGCGAAATACACTGATCGCAGCGTGCACACGTTAAACAACCATGCCATCACCAGTGAACTCTTGTTGGCAGACTCAGCCTTGCGTTTCTTACCATTGCCCAAAACAGAATGGCCAGCCGCGCAGCGTTGATAGGTAGCTCTGCACAGAAATGACAGCCAAGTTTTGCATTCTGGACTGGCCCAGACCACGCCCTTTGGCGCCATCTTGTGCACATAGTATGCTGCCAGCAACGCCCCCCTCAGAGTATTGATGTTCTGGTGGTGGTGATTAATCGCATCAAACGTGTAGGCGAACATCACCGTCTCGTAATTACAGATGCGCGCGGCCTTGGCCTCGCCACCAAACAAGAGCAGGAGGTTCAGGTTTCGAATGCTATCCCACAAGCTAGCCCGCGGAAGTGCATGCCAAACGAGAGAGGGAGAGAGAGAGAGAGAGATAAAGAGAGTTCCATGCCAATCTTATGTTGTTCCCGATTCCCCCCTTAAGGGACAAGGTGAAGCAACGCGAGATTGACGTGGAAGTCTGCGGCGGGGGCGCCCGTGTTCTGGGAGCATCCAGGACGAGGGAAGGGACCAGAACAGCGTTTATCACCGCGCTCGACCTCGTTCGCTACCACAGCAACCAGAGTGCCCGCATCAAATGCATCAGGGTCGTCTGCAGCATTATCAGGGAGCCCATGCGCGTCGCATATCCTCTGGCAAACGCCGTTCAGCCACGAGGGGGCGGCTAAGTTGTGAGGCTTGGGCTGCATCAGTAACACTTGGGAGAGTAAAGCCTGCGGCCCAAGCCTAGATTAGCTATGATGTTCAACTGTTTGAAAATCCGATACTCGAACTTCTGCTGGCGCGCGTGTTCTGCCACAGTGCGAACTGCCAAATTGATGCTTTCGTCAGTCCACACCGCGTACAAAACTGGATTTCCTTGGTATCTGATCCTGCCGCGGGAACTCTTTGCCCCTCCTTTTTCTCGCCCTCCATGTCCTCACCCACCTCCTCCACCACCTCCACCTGGCTGTTGTTCGCTCCCCCTCCTACACCTGCTATGCTGTTTGCCTCTTTCCCCTCTCCACACCCCGTCCGCGCGCATTCGCCGTCCCCGCCTCCACCTCTACCGAAGGGGTGGGGCTGGGCAAGTATTTGGCACCCCCCTTGTCTTTGAATTAAATGCGCGGCGAACTAAAACTTCGGAACCTCGTGGGCGCCAGCCTGCTTGGCCCTCAACAAGCACGTGCGCATCAAATCGTAAAGCTGAGGTATGGCAGGGTCGGGGACAACTGCAGGGTGTCTTTTCAGGGAGCTGTAGACTTCCCACAGGGCGGCCGCTGAACCCATCAAATGCTCGCCTTCAGGAATGATGTGTGTGTATGTGTCCCCCACGCGAATAGCAAACTTCAGAGCGATCAACGACTCGTGGGCCTTCAACCTCACGGCCTGTCCTACATGCACACCTCTTACGGTAGACTTCTCCTTCGGCATACCCCCCAAAGTACTCCGAGTGAGGTCACCGAGCCGATCGGCCCAGGGCATGCGTTCACGATCTTGCCACTCGAACATCATGGTTCTGATGTTTTTCACTGCTGATTCGATCTTCGTGTTTTTGTTCCCGAACAGTTCCCAAGGGTTTGCCAGGATGACCCGCCACAAGATAGCGCTTAAGAGCCGCCAGACGATCCCTGAACATAGCGTGCGCATCAAACCCACAGCGCAAACCCTGTGAGGCTGCATTCCTGTCTCAGCACAAAATATCGGGTTCCTGTGCCGCACAAGCCTGCTCGTTTGCTTACCTACTCCAGATGTCTGCCCCCGCCAGAACACAAAGTTTGTTGGGGTCTTGGAATTGAATCTTATGGGTTCTGCAACGCATCAGACGAAGTCAAGGTGTCGCCTTTCTTCAACACACTTAGATCGCGCACAAGGGTGGGGCCATGCATTTTCACACCTTTTTGAACTCGATCGACTTCGAGACAATCTGCAGGGTCTCACTGTCAGGCACGTGAACGACGTGCTCGCACGAGCGGCAACATGATTCATATTCACTGTCGCGGACCGCTCCCCATGGCCACTCATTGTCCCGCATGCAATCGCAATGTGCATGCATGTTTTGTTTAGTACACTTGCAGAACATACATGGATTGTAGGTAGCCGAAACTGCTGGGAGCCCGTTGGTTTCACGCACGTCCATGAGATCCCCCTTGACCCAGCACGTTGCCCCGATGAAGCCCAGTTCACGGCCGTATGCCGACAGCATACGTGTCATGACATGGTCTTCTGGCCACGGTTTTCCATACATGTCCACCTCTGGCCGTTTCCCAAGCGCCATTGCCTCTAAAACGCACTTAAGATATCGTAGAACCACCCAGTTAGAACGCCGCCCTTTACACCCGCATCGACAATTTATACTTGCGCGCCACGTGGCCACCAAATGCCTCTTCTCCGAAACCATATTTACCAACCACACCCCAGTCATGCTATCACAATTGGAATTAGTAGGGCTCTGATACCTGACCCCGTCAGTGTATAAAGCAAGTGGCATAAGCCGAGTCAACTGCTCAGCGTTGCAGCGCTTGGCCACAGGGTGATCGCGAACGCACGGGGGCCACACTTTAGAATTGCAATCGGCGAAGAGGCTGGGCTGGTCTCGCAACTCCTCTGCTATACTCTCAAACGCAAGAGACACTTGCAATGATACCGCGTCGGACAAGCCTTTCCTCGGTAGAGACCTCGGTACATCTATGTATGTATGTAGGTTTGTTCCTTGAAACTGGGTGTCGAGGTATTGCTGGTACCTGCCGCTTTGGGGCCCAGGAGGTTGGGAATACTTCTGAAAGTCGCCACCGGGGCATCCTGCCTCAAAGGCAAGGTGGCAAGATACAGCAAAGTCTTGGGCGCTGATCTTGTCGACAGCGTAAAGCCCTTTAAAATTCCGCAATAGATCGGCACCCGCCTTCCGCATTGTTGTGACATGCGCATTGAATTCTTCCTGCTCGTATACTGGTATGTACTGCTCCATATCTACATACGTGAAACGTCTCACCTTGCCTTTCCGTACTCTTGATGATGCCATTGCAGGGTCGGGCAGCTATTCAACGCCAGCGCGCTGAAAAAAAATACCCTGCGACGCACCCAACCCACGCGCATCGAATGGCAAGGGGAGTATGCCAACATTAGCAGGAACAACGACAGTGTAGACGCGGCGATTTGCTGTGCAAGCTACATGGGGTGCGCATGCGTTGCACGATTCACAGGACGACGATCGAAAGAACGAGGCTTGAGGCCCCAGGATAGAAGAACGGGTACGGAAACGAGGGGTAGGAGAGGGATGGAATGGAGGGCGGGGGGGGGGGGCGAAAGGCCATCGCGGAAGCAGCAGCATGCGTGGAGAAGGCGAGGCGGGGAATAGGACGACGATGAAAGTGGCGGGAGGAGACAGAGGACAGCCGCGTTTTTAACGTGCGAGCTAAACCCGCAGCGCTGCCTGCGCCATGTCGTCGCAGAGTTCCACATGATAAAAGTTGTTTAGAGTGCAAGGAACGAGCGAGGCGTAGCTCGCCCGCTAGCTTCTCCGCCTCCTTCCCGCACATTTCAGCGCGGGAGCTGAACGCTCGCAGGCGCGCCGCCAGGTCTGCGGGCGGCCCGCGGGAAAGAAACTCAAGGCCGGGGTCGCGCATCATCAATCGGTTGTCCATCGTCCAAAGTTGCACTGGCG